TCCTTAAATGTGCAGCAGGATCTGCCTTTGTTATTGTCTCGGTGACCCTTGAAAATACAAATGAGGGGTGGGGGGGAATTCTACAGCTTGTCAGGCCTGCCGCCATCTTTTCTTTTGGATCTTTGACCTGCCACATTTTCTATTATTCTCCTATGCTTTTTTCCACGGTGGGAAAATGGGAGGAGGGGATTGTATAGAGTCAGATGCTATGTAGCCATAACAACATTCTTTCTAGAAAGCTAAGGTCATCCTTTGGCTCTGCACCTCTGCGCCTGACCGGAATTGGATGGGTGGAAGCTGCCAGCATGGCAGTGGGAGATTGGACCATGGGATGGGCTTGTGGGTATGGGGGGCAAGATCTTGAACTTTCAACTGGGTGGAGAAAACCGGGAAGCTTTCAGATTCGGGTTTTCCCAGATGAGCCAATATGGCTCTCTTAATAAATTGGAACTTGGAGCAATACTTTGCCTTGGACTCTGATTTAATTTTGGATGCTATTTGGAACCCTGACACAGCTCAGGTCAGACTCCACAATCAGCTCTTAGATGCCTTCACGCCCATCACCCCACCCCCATTATTATAAAGGAAAAGGGATAGTTTGATGGGCTACAATAGACGTCTCAGATAAATATGTTTCATCAATTCGGGAAACGCTGAGTCAACACGTGGGACCTTCTCTTGGAGTCTACAGGTTCACTGCCAAAACAAGCTCACCACCTTTTCAAGAAGACTTTGATCTTTGGAAGGATTGGGGTGGGATCTCTGTCTCCATTGCTTAGCACCCTTTGAAGATAACAGTTACCATCTCTTCTGCCCCCTTATTTTTTCATCAAGAGATGAAGTGATTCTCCATTCCCAAGAATCATGGTTTCGTGAGCAAACGGAGCAGCCCTGCTTCCAGAATGTTTTTTTTTTGGGGGGGGGCGGCATCAAATCAACGTTTGCTGTGCCATCAAACATCTCTTGGCTTTAGAGTTGACTATTGACCCTTGGTGATGGGAAGGTAAAAGTCCCAAACACGACGATAGAAGATTTACAGGGGACACGTGTGGCTATTTCCTGGACCCCTGAGAACGTAGAAAACGGTTTGCCAATCTGGAAGGTCATTATGGACAAAAGAAAGAAAAGTATCCATGATGTGTTTGTGTGTCTCAAAATGTGCCTTAGGATGACAACTAAACAAGACCAACTGCCCACCGATTGTTAGTATTTCCCAGCTCCTCGCGATTCTCTTCTTGTAGTTTAGCAAGATGAAAAGCTCTTAATTGATTAACAGATTAACATTAGGAGCTTCAGCGCCCGGAGCCTACGGGAACAGGAAGTTTGAACAGCTAGGCTGTCATCTGTTCTCTGGGCTCTGGGTGTTATCCAGTCATTCAGCCCCCACCATCCCAAGTCACAAGGAATGTTTTTCTGAGCCCACTGGTTCCAGACTTTAGCTTCACAAATGGTGCCCTTATTTATTGGTGCCTGGTTTTCAACCGGCATGGAAATTTTTTTTACAACTTCCCATAGGTGCAAAAGAATGCTTACAATGGAGAAGACAATTAATGGGATGCTAAATGTGAGTTCTGTAGCACTTACGATGTCTATGGAGATCCTCAGCCCTCCAGTCCTAGTTGTCCCAAAGATGCTTTTTATTTTTCCCCAAGAAGCAACTGGGCTTTCTTGTTTTTTCTTTTGAAGAGGTTTCGCTTCTCATCCAAGAAACTTCATCGCCTCTAACTGGATGGAAGGGAATGGAAGGATTTAATGTATTAAAACGATTTAATAAATCCTTTTATTCCCCACCATCCAAAGCAAGGTAGACTTGGGTTAAGGTGTGCTTCTTCCTCGTTCGCACATGCTGCAGGCGTCCCCACCTTCTCCTGTGGGACCTCCGTGGCCAGTAGCAGTGCCATAAATTCCCCAATAATTCCAGGAGGAACATCCTAATGGTGAAGAGCTTCTTGGATGAGAAGCAAAACGTCNCAGGTCCTTCTTCGTTGTCTCAGTTCCTGTTCGGCTGCTACCTGAACGGGGAGCCTTTTTCTGGTTTCCATCAACCCTCTGAGGTAGGCCACATTGAGAATCAGATGTGAGTTTGATTTTCCGGAAATCTTGAAAGCTTCCTGTCTGCCCCATCTCACACCTGAAAATCAGGTGCGGTTAGTTTGAGTTTCTTTCTGACACTCAGCCTTTTCCTTCTTTCTCAGGGCCAAATAATCTTTTCTGCAAGTTCTCCGATAATGGCTGAGTCATGTCTCCCCCTTTCCCAAGACCCACTCCCATATCGCTCTTGCCCTGTTCTCAATCCGGCCTGCTCTGCTTTCCATCCATACTCGAATGTAACTCAATCTATGACACCAACAACCTCCTTTGACCAAAGCTACCCGGAGACAATTTGCTCATTAATTGACATTTAGACTGAAGCTCTCCTGCCAAAGTCCAGGGCATTTCTGCAGACTTTCTTAGATGCTTCGATGAAGATGGGGCTAAACAATCCTAAATAACCACGGACTCTGCACAATTTATCTCGAGAGTTATGTTTTCGACCCAGAAGGATTCGATTTGGTGGCCCGCTGATGGGGCAACCATGAAATGCCACATCTGGCTAATCTTGTAATGCCCTCCAAGTTTCCAGAAACCATTTATTTCAGCTCTAGCAGCAGAACAGTGGCTTCAGAGGCAAACCTCATCCTGCAAGGCAATTGCAGGGCGAGGAGAGAAGGCGAGACAAACACCGAAGCTGCTATTTGCAAAGCCTCTTCTCCTTGTACATGACTTTCTACCACTTGGGCACAATTCGCACCTTCCAAGCAGCTCCTAATTGGAATGGATCTGCCAGGGCTTGGGGGAAGCAGGCTCGGAGGCGGCTTTTGAAGCAGGCCCCTCTGCCTTTTCACACAACCCCTAATGCCTCGGAGTCCGCTTTCTGCACGAGCACATCTGGCCAGCTGGATGGCCAGACAAGGGAGAGGGCAGAGGAGAAGCAGGAAAACAAATTAGGGGGGGATTCGGCAGCCAGCAGACGGCCTCCTTAAATGTGCAGCAGGATCTGCCTTTGTTATTGTCTCGGTGACCCTTGAAAATACAAATGAGGGGTGGGGGGGAATTCTACAGCTTGTCAGGCCTGCCGCCATCTTTTCTTTTGGATCTTTGACCTGCCACATTTTCTATTATTCTCCTATGCTTTTTTCCACGGTGGGAAAATGGGAGGAGGGGATTGTATAGAGTCAGATGCTATGTAGCCATAACAACATTCTTTCTAGAAAGCTAAGGTCATCCTTTGGCTCTGCACCTCTGCGCCTGACCGGAATTGGATGGGTGGCAGG